CGTTCTGGACACAAGGTGATGCACCAGGGCAAGCCAAGAAACAATTGGGCTTAATTAACTTACATTTAATGAACGTAAGACCTAGACACCATACTCCGTAACAGCTCTGTCTCAAACACTGTCCGATCAAATCCCTTGGGCTGTGGTGTAACAGTCCTTCCCCTTCCATGCCACTCGGACTCCTGCTGTTTCAGTGATGCCTGGGGCTGGGCAAGATGTATTCCCCAGCACTCTGGTAGCCTGCTGTACCCTGGGAAGGAGCCGGTTCACCTGAAGCTGCACCAAAACCAGCTCCTGTCATCAGAAGGGCTTTATCCAGTGGCATCCCTCCTGCCACTTGGGGTGAGGGGGAGTTGTTTTCAATAAATTCTTTGGGAAAAAGGATATATTATCTCAGCTGCTTCACTTCCGTATTAATTGGAAAATATATATAAGCTGGGGCAGATATAAAGACTTCTGACAACTGCATACAAGACACAAGAACATTATCTGGATAGTACAAGGCTAAAATTTTGTAAGACTACAAGCTTGCACACAAGTTAAAAACACTCTTGTAAGTCCAATTCCCCTTTCCCATTCTCATCCCCTTTTGGTTCCTCTGTGTAAAACAGAGCTGATGAAAGCTCAGTTTCTTCAGAATGAGTGCAGAAGGAATATTGATGATTTTAGAGACATTTGGAGACATCTCAGAAGAAACTGAGGGGTTGGCAGGAGTTAAGGGAAGTTAGCAGTCTACCTGCCTGTATAAGCTTGAAACAACCCTAAGCCACATGCTGCTTGACCCATCTAGTCTCAAAATCCTGGTGCCAATCTACCAACAGTTCTTTTTACTCTACACGTTTGCAACACTCCCTTGGACCTTTGGCAACTGCAAATCATAGTTTGGTAACCATCATCTGAAACAACAGATAAGCACTGTAAAAAAGAAGTGACTACCCAACATATGCATGTTTTTTAAAATCCTCTCTCTAATTTCCTCCCCTCTGGCGTTAAGCAGGCACACAGTAAAACAAACAAAATATCCAACCGAAAAAAGATTTTCTGTCTAGGTAGCTTTTAAGAAGACTGAACGATGAAAAAGCCCAAACCCTTGGCACAGAGAGAGCCTGTTCTAGTGAACAGTCGTAGAGAAGGCAACGCTACAGAGTGAAAGGAGCAAAGTACAAAGGGGATGAAGCTGTCAGTTCTGGCAGATGGGAGAGGCTAAGAAATAAACTTCCAAAACCTAGAGTAAAGCTCAGGATGGAAAGAATCAAACGGAGTCAAAGCCAGGTTGTTCCTGAATTTGCATGCAGCCTATAAAAGGCCTGACCAAGATACTTTATCAGAAATAAAACCTGTGAGCCTTACTTGTGCAAAAGCACCACTATGAGTTTGAAGGACCAAAATTCAACTTTGCTACTTTTAGAAAACCTATACTGCTTAACTCACTGTGCATCCTGAGCAACACAGATACATTTAAGTGTCCCTTGGATCTGGCAGAACGAACACCCTTCTGATCTGCAGAAAAAAAAGAATGAACAGTTTGAAGTGGATTTGTTTGGAACCATATGCTGTTCTATGCATATTTAAAAAAAAAAAAACAAGAACTCCCAAACCTTTCTGTGGCACACCAATTGTCACTTTAAAGGATTTTTTACACCCCTGACCACATCTGGTTCCTTCAGAGGCTGCTCTGGATGCAAAATAGGTATGCTGTGGAGTAAAAGCTACTTTACACCATAATGTTGCCATTATTTGTTAACATCTAGCTCTACTACTTTTTTTTTTTAACTCAGCGTAACTTGCTGCACACTCAACCATAGAGACCTGATGCAGTTTATTCAGCTCCTGTACTGCAGCTACTTCTCCACTAGCTGCAAATTAACTGATTTCAGTGGGTATCTGAACACTGCGCCATTTCATCTGGGCCTACCATGAAATTTTGAAAGGAGTCACGTAACCTTGAACAAAGCACCACAAAGAATTCACAGTTCTCATGATGACAATACTTTTTATTAGAAAGAATAACAAAGTGCTTTCCATAGGATTAATACAGAATTTTTAAGAAATATGATTTTTCCTTTTTATATGGACAGTTTCGACGTGATGATTTTTCAGTGCAAACAGAGTTCTCCAAGATTCTCCTACATGTAGAGTTTCTTCTCTGTACACAGTAGTTCAAACATTTATGCCTTTGGTGGGTGTGAACCAGTACTGAAGAGTCCATCCTTTAAAAAACAGAGGTTATGTAAAAAGCTTTCAGTATGTTACACTGACCAACAGGAATTACATCATTTGTTGTTTAACACAGGTTTAAGGGACGTAATTCCTTCATACAGTCCTACGCACAGATGCATAAAGGTGCTTTCGGTTCTATCAAGAATAATAATCATATATACCAATATAAATTACATTATCAATTTTTACTATATAGACAAAAGTGAAATTGTCTTTTTTTTTTTTTAAATTAACCTTCTGCTTTTTAGCTAGAGACATCCTTTGAACGCTTGGTGCTTCCTCTGCCTTGGAACTACATCTGGATGGAAGGAAGAAGACAATGCAAGGACTGTTCACCCATTCCCCCCTCACTTTTGGCACACATTTACAATCAGATTTCTTTTGACACATATATGCATCATTTTCATGCATTCCATTTCCCACTCTTTATGTCTGATTCTATCCCAGTCCCCATTTTTCCTTAACTCCTCCTTCCTTTCCTGCAAATGACAGGGAGATAGTATAGCAATAGCACAGAACTGGGACAGATGATGCGGTGCTAATTCTTATATATAATGGAATGTAAGAAACCAAACAGGCGAGGGCTATCTTCCATGCAATACATTATTTTTCTTTTTCATTTTCGGTCAACCTAACTCCATTAGGAGGGATATTTTTTCAGATTTTTAAAAATGAAAAACTTCTATGAAGGACAAGACGTTGTAAGTTACCCTTAAGAGAAACCATATAAAACATTCACCATACACAATCTTTGTCCAAAAGCTACATTTCCATAGAGTACATGTATACAAACATGAACATCAAAAGAACTGAAATGACTTCATGAGTGAAACAGTCATAGTTATGCACATAGTAAAAGGTTACATGCATATAAACAATTTCCTTACTGAACTTGGCAGTCACACCCTTGGTTTATTGTTCCCTATTCCTTACGTACAGAGCAAAATCACCACTTCAGAAATACTACACGCCATCTCACAGCACAGTGTCTTTACACAAGAGTACTACTGCAACAAGGATATCACAGAGACACTTTTTCCTACAGGACAAAAGGAATTGGACGAGATCCTCTGAACAGTAACTTGACTGTGGGAAGAAAGGATTTTTTTTTTTTTTTAATGACAAGATGCTTTTGTAGTACAGCCCTTATACAGGAGAATACACGTAAACCCACCATTATATTTATACAAATATGCAAAGGTGTAAAAGATGTTCTGCTTTCTAAGGGACTTGAAACAAACCCAAAGTTTACCCCTAGGCACTTGTGAGTACAGAGCTCCTGCTTCTGAGTTCAGCCCATGCTTGCTGTTTGCTTTGGGACTTCCAGCTGTGAATAGCAAACCCCTGTATCCAGGAACACCTTCTGTTGTCAAACGTTCCCCTGCCATCAGCATAACTATTTAACTAGGTGCCAATCAACCCCGGTTGCCATCTAAACACACAGCCGGGCCTCAGTCCCACTCCTCTGCAGTCCTGCTGGTTCAGCAGAGCCTCTCGGATCCACAGTCAAGGCCATCTGAAGATCTGGAGAGGAGACGTGGCTCCTCAGAAGGTAACTACGCATTCATTAGAAAAGCACAGAGACATGTCTACAGATGGCATTTAGGCACATAAAGACTTTAAAGGAGCTGGGCCTTCATGTTCACTGCCCTAAATAACAATTATTTCACTAATAGGAAAGTCTGTAAGGACTGGGGCCAAGGGTCCTGGAAATAGAGCCCAGCAACCAACATGATCCACGTAGGCATAAAATCGGCCTTCAGAATCCAGTTGCAGGACTGGGACCACAGAGAAGCTCCCCTTAACTTGAAAAGTCTCTGGATAAGACAGCATTTTCAACTAATCTACTGTTGATCTCTGCTAGTATAAAAATGTTTAGGAAAAAAGTCACTGCAAAAGGTTAAGCAGTTTTCTGTAAATTTCACATCTTCTATTACATTTCTTTAAGTAAATGTATAATTTCACACTACCATAGATGAAGTCAATTTTGCAATTAAGTTTCTTACTAAAAGTAATGTACAGCAAATATTAAATTGGTAGCCTATTTAGTAAAGATTCTGTCTCATTTTACTGTTTTTCTTTAAATGAGCACATACAACTTGGAAATATTCAATACACCCTTGGTGTGGCTCCTGGGGAGCCAGAGTGAATTTTGCACTTACTCTTGAATATATATATCCTATTCTCCAATTTGTGTTGCCCATGACATGCACCTATAGATACGCATTTTTGTTGCCTAGCGTGGAAATTAATCAGTTAAGACTACTAAATAAAATGACCACCTGATTTCAACTACATTCTTGCCTTGCATGAGGAAACAGGTCTGATTTGCTTACGTACACAAAGCTTCTAGCTCATGTTGGGTCCACACTGCAGCAAATTAGGGAAGCGTTGAGAGATCTGGTCTGATATCTTTCTGGCTGTTCAGACACTTCACACACGACCCAGGGGAAGCACACAATATTTTAGCATTGCCATCTGGAATGGCAACTGTCCAACACTGCAGCTGTAACTACCTACAAAGTCCATGAATTATCCAAATGTTTATCTTCAGAAGGAAGGCTGGGGGAGAGAGCAAGTATTAAAAAAAAAAGAAGGAAAAATAGCAGCAGAGCCGAGTACCATTTCCATAAACAAGGTAGAGCTACGTTAGACCATTTGGCCAATATAGGACTGCAATTCCTCCTAAACAACAGCTGAAGCCTTGTGTGAAGTCACTAACATTAGTATAAAAGCATTTTGCTGGCATAGCTTGTTTCCTGCGGGAAAGCTTCCATGAATTATCCAAATGTTTATCTTCAGAAGGAAGGCTGGGGGAGAGAGCAAGTATTAAAAAAAAAAAGAAGGAAAAATAGCAGCAGGAGCCGAGTACATTTCCATAAACAAGGTAGAGCTACGTTAGACCATTTGGCCAATATAGGACTGCAATTCCTCCTAAACAACAGCTGAAGCCTTGTGTGAAGTCACTAACATTAGTATAAAAGCATTTTGCTGGCATAGCTTGTTTCCTGCGGGAAAGCTTGCTATAAACTACATTAACCAAAGATGCTTTTGTGTCGGGAAGCTGTATTCACCTTATGAACGTTTGTCATTGTAGGTTTGTTAGCAAACCTCCCTTGTGCAGATTTAGCTTTTCAGCAAAAAAACCAGCAAATTATGCACATTCAGGGAACAAACAGCACATGAGCCCCCCCAACAGTGAAACAGGACACTCACATCAAGTGTCCTCTTAAAACCAGACAGGAAATTTTCACTATACAAAGCAAGAACATTGGCAGGGGGGACAAAAAGCCAATCCTTGGACTAAGGCCCCAAGAGTGCAGAAAACAGTACATTGGACACCATTGTATTACAGACATCTCCTTTTTTGCCCTTCAAAGATGTAGTAGGACATTGCTGACTTTGCTTAAAATGCATAATTTTAGTCCCCGTCACCCCAAACATTGGAAGTTCAGCAAAATGCAGTTCAAAGCGTTGCAGCTTTTGATATGCCACCCTTTTACTTAAACACATAAATCCACTGGCATAGTGACGGTGTTGAAATACATCATCCAAACAGCATCTATAAAATTTTACTGTTGTACATAAATAATGACAAGGCACAGAACAGCAACCAGTCCAAGAGCTTGTAGGCCAAGAAACCAGAGCATAACCCAGAAGAATATAATTATTACAGGTTCTACTATCCGTTCTCCAAAGTACATCCTTGTGAAGCCTATTCTGATAAGGCTTTTGTTTAGTTCGCCAAAGAGAGTCCCCATCTTTTTATAGTCATCTATTACAGGTTCTGTGGTGTGGTTTCTTTGTTCTTGCTGGACCTGCACACAGAAGACAAAATTAGGAAATATGTTGTACAATCGGTTCTTATTACTGTGATTCTGAACAAGTCTCAGCTGTTTCTATTTGAATGTGTAAAAATAAGATATACATGCAATAAAGCTACTCCTTAAATCGAGAAATTGAAAATGTTACATAGCTTGTGACTTTGGTACAGCGTTAAGGATAACACTCACTTGTCCAAACTTGGGACATCTGAAGTGATACTACAAACACATGACAGCCTGTCTCCCCTCCAGATGCCAATCTAGAGGGGTAAAGCTCTCCTGTAGGTCATACATGTTACCTGTCTGTGCAACGTGGATGTCAGGGCAACCCAAATGGAATTGGATGCCTGTAATTTCAGGGAGGGGATTTGACTTAAGTAGATTTGTTATAAATTATTTCCAGAATACTTTCAGAACCACAAAAATGATACAAAACTATTAAGCACGAACTATAAAGTATTTTGCACCAAAGCACAGGGAGCTGAAAGGCTACTATCACCACTGAAAGAGGGGCACTGGATTCGACCAGAAGGCAAACATCCATCCTGATGTTGGCATAGAAAGCCGTGCAAGTCAGGCAAAGACGACAGACCCAAGGACCGCACAGACGCAAAGCAGCAAAGGTGAGGGGAAACAAGTTCTGCACTTTTTCCCAAAAGAAAAATGATGGGGCAAATGCATAGGAAGGCAGAGGCACATCTTTAGATGAAGATACCATGTTTAAATATCGCTACAGAAAATATGCGACTGTGTCAACACGTAAACTGTAACTAGATTAGAGCTTGAAATCCCATCTCTCCTTCCCCAGTGTCCAGAGATCCATTGCACAAAACCTTATTGCCTTGTATTTGGGTACGACAGGGCGAACACGCTTTCAAGGTGATGAACGTGAGTTTTCTAATCCTTCCATTAGGCAGCAATGAAAACACATGCAGCAGCTACTCATCAATATTTCAGTCAACAGATCAATAGGTCCAGTAGATTGCCTGCAAACTCTTATGTGCAATAAGTCTACTCCTGGATTCAAAGCAAACATGTATCTTTAGTTCTGTCTTCAAGGATGAAAGCTATTCTGCATCCCTGGTTACATGGCATGGTCTCGGTGGAGAAACAAAAATTCCTTCCCACAGCAGTGCCAGGCTCTCCATTAGACAGCAAGTAATAAAGTGAATTCCCATTCCCACAGAAAAACATCCAGCAAAGAGCAAAGGAAGCCAATATTTTTTTTCTAGGCCAGACTTTAGGCCACGATGAAGAACCTTCTGACTGAATGAAGGCTGGGTAAAGCACCACAGCTGCTACTGAAAAAAAAACCAACAAAACCCCTACAGTCCTTCAGCTGTGTGTGCATGGGTATTTTTTTATTGGCTTATTCATAAAGATTTTGGTTTAAGCTTCAGTACTGAATCCCAGAAAGGGAGGGGTGCAGGAAGCCTAAATAGTAATGAATATTGTATTCAATTTTTTTGCGGTTCTACAGAAGAGCCTGAACTTGGAGAACTGCAGTATTGGAGGTTATGTACTGACAGCCACCGCCCTGTCTGTTTTCAGCCTGCTTCTCAGGCCCACGTTGTTTTCTCCCCCTCACTGGATACTGAAACCCCAGTTTTCAGCATTTTGGTTTAACTGTGCTTTATTTATTCAAATAAATGTTGACTCCTCTTTAATTCCAGTGTTTCAAGATTAGTCTCTTCAAGAAAGGCAGAGCCTCTTGCGAGTCCCTGCAGACTTGGCAGGGCGGGGTGCTTGCCATCCCGGGAACACAATGTTGTTACACGAACTCTCATCCCTCTATTCCCAGAGCACAGGGAGACAAACAATTAGCCTAAGTAGTATATTGATCACAACAATTAGGGAAAAGAGAAAGGATGTGCTGGAAAGGGAAAACATATTTGCTTCCTGCATGCAGAGATCACAGGGTGCATGTGCCTAACGGGATGATGGCAGAGGGATCAGAGCGCAGCTCACATCAGGCGGCGCAGAGACCACTTGTGAGAGAAGCAGTTAACACGTGCAGGAGAAATCACTAAATTTTCTAGCAAAGTAGCTTAGGCTTTGAGCCAGTGGCTGGTGCAACCAGGCGGGGGAAAACAAATGAATCACTTCTTTGCCTCTGGATTATTAATTGCACTCAGCACAGAGCAAGCAGAGTGCAGCACTTGCAAGGAGGCCGCCAGCAGGCACATTTCCACGAGCTCTGTCTCACCGGGCCAGCTAAGCACGTGAACTGTACGTGTCCACACTGACGTCTCTCCTGGTATGAGGCAGCTGTAAGACACGGGATTTCCCTAGCAGCCCCATTCTGCTTAGATAAGCTAACAGCAAGAAGTTGTACACAGTCTCTTAAGCAGGGTACAAAGTAAATTCCACCTTACTTAGGCTGTCCAGGTCTTTTTTATTTATGGGGTGATTTTTTTTTTTTTTTAAGCAAGACTATCTCACCCTCTCCTTCTCAAACAAGGGTAGATTTATGAATCCCTACAGCGATTACGCAAAGCAAGCTTCTAGGTGCTGAGACTGACAAGTGTGTGTTTAATTACAAAACAAGTGTCAAGTTATTTTTCCAAATATTTTCAAGAGCTTACAAAACCTTTCAGAATGATCATGGAAATTCTCAAGATTTCAAAGTCTGCTTCAGTTAATTCAGGCTGAGTATGTCTTGCTTCAGGCGACTCAGCAAAAAACAAGTGAAGCTGAAAACAGACAATCAGCCATAACACACAGACGGCATATTTTTCTTTACTATTGCATAATATTTCACATGCTGGACAAATACATTTCTTCAGAGGTATAGCCAAAATAAAGCCAGTAGGGCAAACACCAGTAATGTTACAATGCTCCAAATGGCTAAAAAATATTAAATAAGCTTTAACATTGCAGCTAGAAGTTCTCTCACTAATTTTCAGGGTGACAGTCAAACAGCATACAGTCCTGCATATGTGCCAGTAGCTCTCAAACCATACCCTTAGAACCAAATACTACTCCCCCCCCCCCCCC